TCTAACACAACAGGCCTTGACCATTAGGTATGCCCTGTGCATGAATGATTTAAACCGAGGAGACTGTGTCAGTATATGTATTGCGTATGTTTTGAGGGAGTTCAGAATAACTCCTATAAAGAATGACTCCCTTTAGTGTTTTTAAACATTGCAACTTTTTAGATCTTTTTTATGGTTAAGTGGCAAAATAGTGACCCTGAACCACAAAACCTTGTCTTATGCTGCATGGCAATCGCCAAAAATACATTGGTAGGGTCAAAATCTATTTTTTTTCTTTTATGCCAAAAATAACTATAACATCTAAAGGGCACCTATGATGCAAAATTAACTTTTGTAAGCTGTTTGGACAGACCTGCATGTAGAAACAGTGTTTCCACATTCATATTAGAGTGATATAAACACAACAACCCATTTTTTGAAGTATTCCTGTATCCAAATCCCAGCAATTTATTAGACCCGTCACAGCGTGCTGTAGTATTGTAGTTTTTACCTCTCACCAGATGGATAAACAGCTGCATATCATATCCATAAAACCAACCCAAACTCATTCTGAAAATATACAGCTATATACATTTCTGGAGAGTGACAAATAAGTTTTAGGAGCTATGTTTTTATCCAGTTTTTGTTTTCGCGAATCCACCAAAGGCCACTGTGTATGCTTTTTGAGATCTCAAATTTGTCTTGTGAGTGCCATTTGTGCCTGCTCTTTTTACGTAAATCCACCAGAGGCCGCTGTGTATGCTTTTTGAGATCTCAAATTTGTCTCGCGAGTGCCATTTGCCTCTGCTTTTCTCACGTAAATCCACCAAAGGCTGCTGTCAACTGACTATTTGACTGACTGAATGACTGACTTACTGACTAACCCATACCTCCCCCTTACCTAAACCCAACCAATAGTGTTTTCAAAGCACAGATTGACCCGCCCACCCACTTCCCTATACCCAACTGACAAGTTTAAAAAGCAATCCAGAAAAAGAAAGGCCCTCGTCTGGTTTTTACTTTGTTTTCAGATTTTACCACATTCTCACACTGTTATTTACTAGTTTATTTTATATTTTGGATTTTGTTTTTGTCTTAACTGCTTTCTAGAACCATTCTTCACCGGACTCAAACACAGTTGTCATGTTCAACTCCTCTCTTCATCTCAAGTCCACCGACGTACATGGTGAGCTACTGGGCAGATTGGTAATAGCAGGAAATTGTCCATACGGAGGTAAGCGGTCAGCTGGTATGCACGAAAAGGAACAATGACACACTGCCCTGTATCGTTTGTTTTAAAAACGAAATGCAGCCATACATACTACATGATTCGCAATCTCCAGAAACGTATATAGGACTATGTTTCCAGAATGAGCCTATGTTGCACAAAACAGGATTTGCAAAGAACCTGGAATTATCTGTTCCAACTCTCTGTGATCAGGGAATGAGTTTTACAAGTTTAAAATATTTGTTAAAACATTATGCATGTTTGTATTGAAGAAAAACAATAAAACCGTTATACAATTCATAAACGCTGAAATCACCACAGTTGCATAGTGTCAATACAACTATAAAAGAGGACGCTTTAATCCAGGTTTGTGGACATTAAATCAGGTTCATTTTGTAGAGTATCATAATGGATATCCATACAGCAGTGGGTAATAACTTGAATACTGTCACACTTGCAACTAGTAGACATGCAAAAACAGTGCAAAGGTAAATGTGTTTATGTACAGTTATTTTTGTAACTTATCTGTGAGTGACTCATCATTGCAGAAAGGCTTAAATAAACAAATAATACATCAAATGACCACTGGGAAACTTACGGGTTCATTCTTACTGTGGTATGTCTCATTAACTATGGTATGGCTCATTAACTCATTAATTAGGTATGTCTTCAGTCCCCCACAACCCGCTCTTCAGTTCACGCGGACCCCAACCCCCGCATTTCAGTTCACGCTGCATATGTAACCCCCAACCCCCGATCTTCAGTTCATGCGCATTCAGTTTATGCGATAACCCCCCCACCCCAAAATTATGGCATGTGTGAAAATAGCTGCAAGCTGCAATTTCTTTAGACTCCAAAAAAACATTTTCAGCAGGGTAAAGTAAATGTTCTTATTGGGAATTTTAAGCTGAAACTTTACAAATACCCTCTGAAAATTGTACATTTTTGATCAATAATATGTACGCTTCGCTAACAACTTTATTTGGACAATTTTAAATGTGATTTTCTCAACACACTTTCATTTTCCTGAATCCTTTAGATTTTCAATTAGTATTACTCCATTCTAATAAACCATATATCCAGGGAAAGCTTATTGATGCAGATTTAAGATGATGCATAAATCATACAATGATGATCGAACAGGTTTGAGTTGTCAACATCATTTTGTGAAGAAGCATTTTTTTGGTCATGAATATTTCTTCTGTCACAACTTAGTGTGCACTTTAAAAAAAACTGTTATAATCAATGAAGCTGTGAAATGAATCTCTTATACACCTTGCATCTGCACTTTGTTGTTAATGATGAGAAAAAGCATGAGAGCGTGGAATTCAGTCCCTGAGCATGTTTTCTGCAAACACGTCTAATTTTCCACTGCACTTATACGTTCAAGAAATGTGTGTGTTATTATTCTCAGTGCTACTAACAATAAGTAGATCTGATATTGAGGTGCTTAACATTGTTTTAGGGCAGGGGTCGGCAACCCAAAATGTTGAAAGAGCCATATTGGACCAAAAAAAACAAATATATCTGGAGCCGCAAAAAATGTAAAGCCTTATATAAGCCTTATAATGAAGGAAAGACATGCTGTATGTATCTATATTAGCTATATTAGCCTACTATAAAAATGACTAAGTTGGCTAAAAATACATGATAAGCCTTCATGATTAAATAGCCACTGAAATCAGGTGGTTGGTGTTTATTTACACAGCACAGCTTCTGGTCTTTCAGTGGTATTAATTTTATCATTTCTTCTTGCGGCCCATCGGAGTTCACATACCTGCACGTTGAATATTGGTCACATCACAGGCAATTGAGTATGCGGGGACTGAATTAATGTCCTTGGTTTGCTGATCGGTGATTTTACCTGCCATTTTAATAGCCCTTTCCATTACTGTCGTAGCAGAGAGAGGTATGTCTTTAATTTTTTGTATTATCTTTGTTTTGTTTTTGAAGTCTGCAAATAGGTGTTCTAATATGTTAATGAATGACTCCTTCATGTAGTCACCATCTGTGAACAGTTTTCCGTGCTTTATTATCTCCCGGTTTGTTTACAACAGCCACCCGCCTGGTATCCCGCCCTGCTGATAGAAACGTGTGTCGCAGGCTATGACGCAAATCTTAACTGACAGAAATGTTGAAATTAAATATTAATTCTACACACTTTTACAGCATTTGAAAATGTTAAAATGTTTGTCCTCCTATAGAATCATAATATCATTAATATCATATTAAAACAAAAAATTATATTAACCTCCCCCATCTTTTTCCATTTTCAAACATTTTTTAAAAAGCTCCAGGGAGCCACAAGGGCAGCGTTAAAGAGCCGCATGCGGCTCTAGAGCCGCGGGTTGCTGACCCCTGTTTTAGGGGGTGTACTCTTCCCAATACGGCACCACCCCAGCCAAGTTAAATTATTAAAAAAAAAATTATCTAGTGCCAGCTCACAACAGAAGTAATTTAAGATTCCTTCCCAACAGAACAGCTCTCTATTTTGTCCTCTTATTAAACAAACAAAATAGACTTATGTTATTTATCTTATTTGCATTAATGCATTTCTCTACATTTTTACAATTCTCTGCTCTCTTTATTTCACAAACTGTGTAATTCCACTCAAATCATACAAGTAAGCACACTCCCACCAGAGGTCAAAGGGTGCACATTGGAAAATATGTTGTGTCAACTTGATGGAAATCAGAAAAAACATCTGCGCAGCCAGGAGAAGGTTTAAATCCTACTTTTAGGTGTGGTGTTGCTTTGTATACAATGTGGCATGTATCATGTGATGTTGATGCAACGCAATTTCAGCTAAAGCCTGTTTGAACTAAGCTATGTGATTCTAACAGATGCCAAAGATGCACATCTGTCATCATAAGCATACCCTCCCAGTCAATGTCTCTGTCTCTTGTTCTCTCTCCTTCTTTCTCACACACACACACGCTTTCAGTGGCATCATTTAATTTGTTCAAATTGCTGTCAAACAACACGGACGACTTAATATTTATTTTCAAACATTTCTTTCATTTTAATCCGGTCTAAACATTACACTACCACTACCTACTGCGCCACTGCGTCATCCGGTAAAAAAAAAATATCATAATATATACTATATCAGAAACCTTTAAATTAGCATAATTGGCAACAGTTTACACTTAGAATGCTGCTTTGCATAACAAACTTCAAGAAAAACATCTGAATAAGTCTTAAAACAATGTACATACAGCTACAATTACATATTCTTAAATTTAAGTGCCAAAAAACAGAAAAAATGTATCTGTAAAACATTAAACTGACATCATAAATTGTGTTGCAAAAAATACAATCTTAGCTCTCTGAATATCACGCAGAACAAATAGGAGACAGACAAAATACTGGTGTTAAATGATAGACAAGCACCGTGTTACACGGAGATGAAAGTACTGCCCTTCCAATTCTGCAAAAAAGACGTCAATCTTTTAGTGAATCTCAGCTGTCACTGATTCCATGTGGGCCCAAACAAGAGTGTGGATGCATCACAGCAGCCTCAGTAAAACTCAGATCTTCAGTCAAATCCATCCTACTTATCGCAGCATCGCTCTCACCTAATCCTCAATTTCAGCACGTTCTCAATAACTCTTTCGTCTCCTGCCCTTCGCGACCCTTTTCCTCTTTCCATTCCTGCTGCCCTTCATCCTTGTGGATTTACTCTGCTTTTCTAGCTTTGCTCTGTAGCCACTGCTGCAAATAGCAAGCTATATGACGCAAGCAGAACAGCCAGCGAGCAGTTGGCGCCTGTGTATGTATACAGCACACCCACCTTGACACTTGGCACATGGGTCTTTCTCATACTCCAGCAGTTCTGGAGCCTGGCCGCGAACGCTGGTGGTCCTCCGCAGCCCTCCATCCTCACGCAGACGAGCTGCCTCTTCTTTGGCATAGGCCCCCAGCTCCTGTGTATAGCGTCCATACATCTGAAAGCGAGACGGGAGTCAATGAAGATTTCAGCTGGGAAGGTAATAAAAGGAAACCAAGCCAAGAAGCGTTTCGCTGAAATAATGTGCAACTTAACAGGCTCTTCAAAAGCCCATCAAATAAATGGAGCAAGTCTGTCAGAGATTTCTGTCTCCGAGTACCATCCCTGAAAAAAAAAAAAGCTGGATTCTTTACTATAATAACGCTATTTGTGAGATTTACATGTTAAGCGTTAGTTCACCCATGAATGAAATTTATGTCATTAATTACTCATCGTAGTGATGCCAAATCCCTGAGACTAATGTTCATCTTCTTCAGAAAACAAATGAATATATTTTATCTCTTGTTCTCTATAGACAGCAATTGTCCCGACTCTATCAAGGTCCAGAAAAGTAATCAAGATTAAGTAGAAGAAGAGTCAAACCGATCTGCTTCTCCTTTATTTTAAATTTAACAGTTTTTTTTTTTTATTCTTTTCTTGTTTACAATCACAGATATTGTAGTGAGAGTTTTGGAACTTGTCTGAGTTTATTACACCGGTAACACTTTACAATAAGGTTCATAAGTTAATCCATTTACTAACATGAACTAATCATGAACATGAACTAATTAATCATAATTGAACATTTACTAATGCATTATTAACATTCAAGTCCATGCTTGTTAACATTAGTTAATGCACCATGAGTTAACATGAACTAACAATGAACTACTGTATTTTCATTAACTAACGTTTATTAACATGAATAAATACTGCAGTAAATGTATTGTTCAATGTTTGTTCATGTTAGTAAATGCATTACTTAACATTAACTAATGAACCTTATTGTAAAGTGTGACTATTACACCTAAAGAGATCACTGCAAATTCACAACACATCTATGCTGATATACTGTATTCAAACAGCAATACGTTTAACTAAATTGACATGCTTACATAAAGTGTAGTGCAAATATATAAAAACCCCATTATTGACCATAGGCTGTTAAACAAACATAAGTGGTTGGACATGATGATGTCATTAATATGCAAATTGACGTATGATGTAATTTAGCGACATTTAGTGACTTTACGGGCAGAGCTTAGCGCCTTTACATTAATAATAGTTGGCTAAACTGGTTTCTTCTCCTAAATGTCAGTATAGGGCACGTGTTTATGAGAGCACTGTGCTTTTTATGTGTGTCTCATTCAGTCATGCAGCTGATTTTTCCCTCAGATGTGCCTGTGCTTTGTTTCAAACAGAGGCAGTATGGGACTGACATATACATCAGCACACAGTCATCATAAGTGTGTGCCCTATACTGATACTGAGGAGAAGAAACTGTTTTGCCAACTATTTTAATGAAAAGGCGCTAAGCTCCTTATAAAGTCATTATTTTTTGGTTTATGTATGCGCACAAGTATTTGATTTGTTTCATAATAATCAGATTAAAGCACTGAAGACACATGGACTGTTTTTTGTCCCATTCTGGTCTACTGAGGACCAGGAAGATCTCAGATATCATACCAAAAATATCGTAACTTGTGTCCTGATGATTATCAAAAAATCATGGGGGGTTGGAATGACATGTGGGTAAGTGATTATTGACAACATTTTCAATTTGGTTGACAACACTTTAACACTAAAACTAACATGTTGGTTATTTATAATTTTTGTTAATTAAAAAATTGAAAATAAAGCAAATATTTTTAATAACCTATTATTTTTTTAATATGTGTAAATTTCATTCTAAGATTAATTTTTCAAATTGCAAAACGCAAAAAAGCTAAGTATTTCTCCCTTTAATTACTTTCAAGAGTTCACATTTAGCTGATGATTGATAATAAAGCTTGTTTGGCATGCTGTCCCAGGAGAGAGCCCTGAGCAAATAAGATCTTCAAGTCCTGGGCTCCCTCCCGTTGCAGGGCAAGAGGGGAGTTTGAGCTTAGGTAGATCTTGATGACTCCCCCTTGCTTATTTGTGTAAGCAATAGGTGTACTCAGAGTTTGGCTATGAATATTTTGAATTAATTGGTTAGGATGCTTGTTTTTGGACTGTGGAAGGAAACCGGAAGACCCGGGGAAAACCCACGCGAGCACGGGGAGAACAAGCAAAACTGTGCACAGAAATGTCACCTGGTTTGGAAGGGAATTAAACCAGGGGCATTCTTGCTGTGAGGCAACAGTGCTAATCACTGGCCACCGTGTCGCCCGATTGAAAGGAGGGAAAGTGGGGTTGGGAGGGGAAGTTTCTTCAAGACAAAGATATTAAGATAAGAGACTCTGGTTATTTATAGTGAGTTAGGAATCATCTGATAGGATAATTGGGTATGAGCTAATGCTAGAACAACTGTAAACAATCATAAGCACGTGGTCCTCTCGAAATTTGTTTATAAATAAACTCCACATAGCTGTCAATATGTATTTCATGGTCTGCTACTTTTTCTTGTGATTTTCAACATATGTGCCTCTGTTGCCAAGCAACTTTCTGTTAACAAAATCATAACTTTTTGTTATGAAAAACATAACTTTACTTCAGACATATCTTTCAAAACAGCAAGCCTTCTTCCCTGCTTATAAAAGTGAAAATTAAAGCGAGACTTACAAACATTTGCAGGTGGTCTACAAGTTTAACTATACATTTATTGGCAGTATTACAATAATTATCACATTTTTTGCAGTGATGACTTAATTATATATGATCCCTAACATTTAAAGATTATGTTTTGTTTCTCAAAAGAAGCTTTGATTGTAGATATGATGTGACACTATGACGTCTTTTATGAAAACTGACAGAATGACCGTTATGGTAATTCTATTAGTTATAGAATTCTGGCAGTTCCAGTGTTAAAGGGAGAGTTCACCCAGAAATGCTGTTATATGAAATCCCAGAAAATTGCCATAAAGATATCATGTTTAAGAAGGCTCTTTTTAAAAATACCAATTTTTACAGAACAAGAAGTTAGTAACATTTAAGTAAACAACTAGAAGACTGCTGTGTTATTGCAGAAGGTAAATTGCCAATATAAGCATGTACAATTTTAGAATGCACTGATGTGGGAAGTCTACTTTGGGCCAAGCAACATTCCAATGCTGATGATACAATCTCTTCGCACTGTTTATGGAAATAAAAATCTTTCATTTCTTTGTCCAGGTAAGTTTAGGTAATGTTTATTAATCAGACAAAACTCCCATAATCTTTCTTAGTGTCAGCTGTGGGAAAAATATTCTTAAAATTACAATGCTTACAACAAACTGCTGAATTCAACTGTGATTTTGCCAACCATCGAGTCACATTTCAGTACAACAGCGGTGTCTTCCATATCAGGCTATATCATCTGCCTTCAGAATTTTTTTTCTCTAGTAGTTGAGTACTGCGTTTATCTCTGGGACAAAAAGCTGCATGAGTGCAAAACTTAAAAAAAAAAAAAAAAAAAAAAAAAAAAACTACAAAACCATCAACAAAAAGACAGACTACCTTCAAATTTACAAATACAAGGTATTATGGAATGGATGTGTAAATGATGCTTTTCCTAAATAAATACCTAACGTTGTTGCTTATGAGAACAGCACATTTGTTAATTTTCCAGTAATTCTATGGCTAATTACCAGCATTATTGTGTGCAACAGAGTCTTATGAAGTGAAACAATTGGCATTTGAAAGGAACTAAACCATATTTAAATATAACATTATTGCACAACAAATGGTGCTGAGCACATTTATAGCAGTTTGGAGTGAAAGCTTTCTGTCACACAATGATTTTACATGTGGGCAGAAATATCTTATGTTGTTTTGTTCATCAAATTGGTGCTAAGTTGTGTTTATCCTGGATGTTGCAACCTATGTAGAAGAGTAAAATTACTTCTATGTGCAAATGCACTGAAGATCTTTTGCCAACTGGGGATTAAGTGTAATAATGTTTTATTGATCACTTCACTTTGTAAGACATGCGTGTACCTCCAGGAGCCAAGGGCATAAATTCTGTTTTGCATGAATGTATATTCTCAAAGTGCCAGTAAACCTTGGAAAATTATATCTCCAATGTAACAAAAATGGCCAAATTTCATCTGAGAATTATCGCTAAATCACGAAGTATGCTATCGATTTCAGATGCAGAAAAGCTAGTTTATGCTTTTATGACTTCTAGGCTGGATTACTGTAATGCTTTGTTCACTGGTTGTCCAGCATCCTCTATTAATAAACTTCAGCTATCACAAAATGCAGCTGCCAGAGTTCTTAACAGGTCTATGATCATCACCCCAATTTTATCCTCCTAACACTGGCTGCCTCTTAAGTTCTGTATTGATTATAAAATATGGCTTCTTTGTCTATAAAGCTTTAAATAATCTAGCTCCTGTTTATCTAACCAACCTTCTGTCTCACTACAATCCATCTCGCTCTTTAAAATCTCAAAACTCAGGGTTTCTGGTAGTACCTTGAATAGTAAAGTCTACTAAAGGAGTTCAGGCCTTCTCATTTATGGCTTCTTAACTCTGCAATAGCCTTCCTGATAATCTCCAAGGCTCAGACACACTCTCAATTCAAAACTAGATTAAAGACCTATCTTTTTAGAAAAGCATGCATCGCATGACGGTACGAACCATGAATGTGCTCCACGCAGGTGAGCTGGCTGGAAAACCACCTGCAGCATGCACTCCTCCTTAATACACCAGACACTGTGTCAGAAACTGTAAAATGCTTTACATGTTTGTCTCTGTTTGTTTATATAACTAATATTTTCATTTATAACATTACTTTTAAATTCTCTATAAACAGCAGCTATTCACCAATTATTTTCTTTATTCTCCATTTCCAACTGGGGATACTCATTCCGAGGAGCCTAGAGACTATGCAGTGCCATTGATGCGATTCAAGACCTGTAAAGAGATGATCCCAAGGTATACATAATCTTGGACCAGGCCGTATCCCAAGTTGATGCTGTGGTTGTCATGGAGGAGTGGAGTGCATGAGAGTGAGTGCTGAAAGATCACCGTGACAAACAAGTCTCCCGCATTGATT